AAAGGTTTTAGCTGTGAACAGGGTATCTGCTAGCTATGCCGCTGTCAAGCACTTTACAGGGTAGCTGCGAGTCGAGCAAATAGCTAGTACTTGCTAAACCTACTTGAGTGTGCCATAGAAAGCTGCCTTGTTGTATTTTCAGTCAATTTTCTTAATGTTTCACATAATTTACAGGGTATTTTTGAGTCGTACACGCTTGCTGAGAGTCTGGGCTATGACTTATATGGCCAAAATGTGCTATATTTCACAACAAGTGCTCAGATTCAGTGACAAATTTATCTACTGCTCACTTTAAGGGGTATGTGTCGGTCGAGCTTTGCGTGTGCGAGCATTAAATTTGGTTTTCGTCGCGATTTTCTGTGAAACTTTATCGATGCTATAAAAAGGGGGCACGACGAGCTGCTGCACATGTGTGACAAGTTTTAATTTGACTCGGCTGAGCAGGAGCAGCAGCCATGCAGGAGCAGGAGCAGCAGCAGCAGCAGCAGCAGCAGCATCAGCTGGGCTTCGGTTTAGGTTTAGTTCAGCTGAAGCGCTGCTCGCCCGTTAATTACGCGACTTTTGCTGCGGTCGACCATTTGCTGATTGCATGACGCACTCGCTGACGTGTCAGCAGCGACGCGACGTTGGCAGCGGCACGCACGGGCACACCCCCCTCCCCTCCCCCTTCCATCTGGCCGAATGACCAGCGCGAGTCCCATGGCCATGGCCGCCCACAACAGTTAGTCACGCCAATTTTATTGCACTGCTGACACGGCCAGAGGGCCTAGAGGCCGCCATGTGGGTGGGGCACGAGCAGGGGCAGGGGCAGGGGCAGGGCTGGGGCGGTTCTCCACTATCACTCGCAACAATGGCGTCGAACAGAGTTTTCGGATTTCAAGCGGAACAATTAAGTTAACGATCTGCGGACATGAGCGGGCGCCAAGTGACAGAAATCGTGTGCCAAATGCTCCAACATTGGCGAGGGGGGAGGGGGCTGACACGTGCGGGGTGGGCAGCTCGAAAATGCGCGAACGTGTTTTGTAGCTAACGCATAGGCACGCCCATTTAAGCCAGCACCGCCACTCGCCCACAGGCTGGCGGCCCCAGCGCTGGATGGTTAAAGCTTTAAGTTCGGGTCAACAAAGCATTTCTTCTTTCAATTAGCTCAACAGCCAAATTGATTAAATCAATTGCCAGCATTACGTGTGCTCAAGCGGGTCGAGGGGGCCCGGCTAGGTGGGCGACAGTGCGAAAATGTTGCAGCTGCAGCTGGACAATAGGCAGCAGCAAAAGCATCACTGATGCAATGCTCTGTTAGAAGCCTCAAAATGTTCAGATATATGTATCAGTTCTATAAGAACTATAGGTTATAGCTAGTTGAGTCCTAATCGAATGGCTAGATAAAGCTAAGTAAGCAGACTTTGATCTACGATTTTTACTTCTGAAGAATTTTATTTCACAAATTTTCTATTTCCATTCCAACATAAAAAAAAAAAACTTTCTATGAAAATTATTTTTGGGAAATTCTGTTTCGATTTCAGCTTCATCCGATTCGAATTTCTCCTTTGACACTCTTTTACAATTATATTTGTTTTCTAAGACATCTACTTAAAAGCTCCTTTTTCTTGATACCTAGTTAAAACTACTGTATTTTCTGTCTTTCTGCGTATTTTTATACCCTGAACCCATTGAAAATGGGAAATCAGGCTATAATGGTTTTGTTGAAATATATGTAACAGTCAGAAGGAGGCGTGGCAGATCCTACAAAGTATATATATTCTTGATTAGGGTGACGAGCTGAGTCGCTTTAGCCCTGTCTGCCTGTCAGTCTGTTCGTCTGTCCGTATGTTTGAACGCGTCGATCTCAGAAGATATAAGAGCTAGAGATTTCAATTTTTTTAAAATGTCCGTATATATAGAACGCATATCGAGTTTATTTTTCGCAATTCTGGATTCTAATGTCTTTTCCTATTTTTAAGCACTTTTCTTACGGATTTTTCCCGTTAGTTTTTCATCTGCTTCTATCTGCTCCATTTGTCTACCAGCTTCCATCTTCTAGCCTCTCCTGCTGCCCTAAAATTTGCTCAACTTTTCCAGCTATAGGCTCACCTCTCCAGCCTCGCTTCTCCTATGCTTCTTTCTGTTGGGTCAAAAACTTTAAGTTCAATTTGAAAAAAAAAGAGAACAAATATTATTTAAATGATTCCAGGCAAAGTCCTAAGTCAATTGTAGCCAGAATTTCGAATTCAATATGCACTGCTATAACAAGTGGCACAGATTTATAATGCACTCAGCAAAAAGGGTAAGTCTATAGGCATTGAGCAAGGGCAGGGGCGTGGCATACATTACAAGAAGTGGACTTGAGAGTCAACAAAGTTTTAATTTCCTTCAATGATTTCTCTGCGCATTTGTTTTACCAAAGCAACAACAGAAGTATGTGTGTGCTATGTGTGTGTGTGTGTGTGTGTGTGTGTGTGTGTGTGTGTGTGTGTGTGTGTGTGTAGCATCATAATCAAGTTAGATAAATCTAAATCCTTTGCGATAAGCGTCTATAGAATGAACCCGCTGTAGCATTGCCTTTCAGCCTAACCAGAACTTTTAGCTGTATGTTTGTGTGTTTGTGTGTGTGTCTCTGGAGGGGGTATGGGGGTTGGGGGGTACAAGTTGGAGCAACGAATTAGAGAGCGCTCTTCCTCAATGCCGTTGCGAGTGAATAGAATTTGTAATTTCCGTTTTCGTTTTGTATGCTAACCCATAGACCCCCAACCGGCCCCGCTCCCCACCTTGATGAAGCAAGCCTCTACCACACCGTACGTCCGTCCGTCCGTCCGCTGCCTCCCTAGGCTGTGAGGCCTGCAGCACTTTAAGTGAGATGTGGCATGGCACAATGAAACTGTTGAAGCTGCATCAACAACAACAACAACAACAACAACAACAATAACAACAACAACAACAGTTGAGGCTGCCTTTAAGGCTGGTTGCAGTTCAATTGGAGGAGCCAAAAGCCAAACTGACGAAAAAAGCGAAGGAAATAAAAAAAAAAAAAAGTTAACGGATTCGGATTTGGCTAACTGTGCGGAATACTTCTTTTTCCATATATGAGTTTGACAGAGAGAGAGACAGAGAAAGGTAGAGTGTGCGAGGGAGATGGCGAGATAGAGATATGAAGCGGGCATTGAAAACATTTTCCATTTGCATTTGAAGCGAAACGTAAAAGTTGATAGCAAATGTGTATAGGGTATACAACCTCTGTGTGTGTGTGTGTGTGTGTGTGTGTGTGCATAGGGTATGTGTGTGTGTGTGTGTGTGTGTGTTTGCTGATGAGAGCGATAAGCAGCCGGCGACGCAAATGAAGCTGAAACAAAAAATACTTTCCATTAGCAGCGCGATCAATGGCTAAAGCTAATTGAAAGCAAATGGAATCAATGTAAGCTATCCGCCAAACGATACCCCGTAAAAAGCGAAATTCAAATGAAAGGAGTACCAGATGCAAAGCAGCGTTATTCAATGGAGCAATATCTTAATTACATTTCGGCCAAAGGTGACGGCGAGGCAAGAGAAAGCGCGTGAGGTTCACATGAAATTTGACTCCATTGCCTCAATGTGACTCTCCAACTGCAGGCAGCAAACGCAGTGACTTTCCAACTGTAAATAGGCATAGGCATTACCTGAGGGCATATGTTGCTTGGAAGTAGTTGGAATTTAAGGGGAGCTGAGTTTTGGCTAGTCAACTAAGCTGAGAATAAGAAAAGCAGCAAAGGCTTGGAAAGGTTTGTGAGGCTGACGCATTTTTGACGGCTTCGAAAAGGCGCAGTCCACGCTTATTGGCTCTGTTGAATATAGCTAGGGGCGTGGCTGATCATATAAGGCATATGTAGGCTTCTGATGGTGTAGTAGGGCGAGTCTTTCTTTCAGCTCTCTGTCTCTCCAAGCTCTGTCTAGCTGATCTCTGTCAGTCTAAGCACCGTCTTGCGTTTGTGGAGCTTGGAGCGAGGGGATAAGTTCTTGTTTATACCCTGAACCCATTGAAAATGGGAAATCAGGGTATAATGGTTTTGTTTGTTTTTCGATTTACACAGAAATTTAAATTATCGAAAACGATTTTTTTTTTCTAGTGGACAGAATTATTTCGATTTATCGCATTTATCGCGATGACAAATTATCGAGACTCGACTGTACATGTCTAATCACTTCTCCTGGTGCAATAGCAGGGCCGAGTCTTTATTACTGTTCCAGTCTATTCGTCTTTCGTCCGCCTTCACTGCGTCCGTCTTCACTCCGTCCGATCTTCCTCAGTCCAAACTCCATCAATCCGACCTGTGCAACTTGGAGAGACAAGAGACACGTAGGTTGCTCTCTAATGAGATAAAGATCTACTGAAAGCACTAACGATTTAAACTTTCTATCCGAAACGTCTTAAAAATGGGATATCAGGGTATAAGGGCTTTCTGGTTAGAGTTAGTAATACCAAGACCAAGCAGTATTCATTTGCGTAAGAGTTGATAAAGTTGATATAGTAAACCCTAAGTAAACTCAATTGAACTTTAATCGACTGTGAAATCGATAGTTCAATGAATTTATCACTATGATCCTGGGTATTTCAAAGTCAGGCACTCCCCACTGGAGCACATCATAGTTTTTCTGTGACTCGCTTTGAATTTTTACAATGATTAGCGCAAGGTTCGGTTCAGTTCGGTTGGGTTCGGCTTGTAGGTTTTTGTAGGAATCGAAAATGAACTCAGCTTGCTTGAGGTTCTGAAGAATAAGGGAGTAGAGTAAAGCAACTAAACTAAAACAAATAATTGAAGTTCATCAATAACACTCTATAATTCATATGTTCCATTACATTCTCTTAGACTAAGTCAAAGCGCAGGCTGGCCTTTGGCAAAATTGATGTAAAGTGGATGGTTTTTTATGGGGTTTCAGGTTGGTTTACTTACTTCTTAAGCAGGAAATGCATAGTGTAAAGTACAAACGGAGCTTTAGTTCGCTCTCTTTCGCGCCTTCGCGTTGGATCCGTGCTGGAGTAGAGCGGGGCCGATCTAGTCGGGTCGCCGGCGCTTTCGACGTCGACGCCAAGCGATGTGACTGTGACTGAGGAGGTGGGCCAGCAGCCGAACGTAGCGCCACTCGACACAGCTGGCCACGGCGATCAGGAGCATGGCATTCAGGCCGAGCGCCAGTGTGGCAGCCGAGCTGCCCAGATTGCCCTTGGTCAGCTGATCGGCGCACCGGCCGATCGCATCGATGTCCAGTTCGCTCATCACGCGCCCGTTCACCTCCAGCGGCGAGATGCAGTAGTTCTTCTGCAGAAAGTCGCTCAGATTGTGCGCGCCCTCGGCCAGGGGCCCGTCGAGCAGGGTGTGGATGTGGCAGCCGCAGGGGAAGTGATTGTTGATCAGCTGCAAGTGATCGACGCCATCCACGATGATGGCATTCGGATCGGGCGTCTCCAGCACATGGTTGCCATGGAACTTCAGATGCTTGATGGCGGCCGTGTGCGTGAAGTTCAGCTCCTCGATGGAGTCGATTTTGTTGTTGAGGATCTGCAGTGTCTCCACCTGGGTGAGGCCCGTGAAGGCGTCGGCGCATATGACGCCCAGGTCGGACTCCTGCAGCGTCAGCAGCAGCACATTGGACAGGCCGCGAAAGGTGAACGGCGAGATCTCCTTGAGATCCATGTAGGCCAGCTTCAGCAGACCGACAGCGTCCATGCCGAAGAACGCGTCCTGCTCGATGCTCCGTATGCCCGACGGCAGTATCAAATGTCCCACATTCGTGAGGCTGGAGAACGCCGACGTCTCGATCCGGATCAGCGGATTGTTGCTCAACAGGATCAGCTTGATGTTCGACGTGCCCGCAAAGGCGTTGCCCTCGATCCGCTGGATCTGATTGTGACTGAGCAGAATGGTCGACAGATTCTGCAGTCCGGCGAACGCGAACTGCGCCACCGTCTGCAGCGGCGTATACTGTATGGATAGCTCACGCAATCGGGGCAGGCCACGGAATGCGAACTGTTTGATGCGCGTTATGTTGTTGCCATCCAGCGATAGCTTCTTCAGCGCCCGCAGTCCGGCAAACGAGTCCGGCTTAATGATGGGAAAGTTGTTTTTCGTCAATGCCAGATTCTCCACTGTCGCTGGCAGCTGGCGCAGTGGAATCTGCTCGAGTCCGCCCGTGTTACACAGCACCTGCACGACGGAAAGAGAGAGAGAGAGAGAGAGAGAGAGAGAGAGAGTGAGGGACAGTTATAGAGCGTGGCATATAGAGGTGCTGCGGCAGGGCAGGTGTCAAGATGTTAGTCAATGTTGGTGCGAAAAATTGAATTTGCGGCTTTATTGCTGCCAAATAAAATTAAATCGAATTTTTTTTTATGCTCTTTGTTCACTTTGTCATACTCTGTAAATGCTATAAGTGGGTATATGCGTTAAGGAATATCTTTATGGTTGTTCGTTGAATGTCTTTAGGCTTGCTTCTCCCTTAACTAGACTCGCCGATATATATCGATTAGGTTAAGCTAAGCTATGTTTGCCGATACATACATTTGCCGATTGGGCTGTATGGAATAGTTTCTTGGTCTGTTTCTCATACAAAACCTGCTGCATGGGCTAGGCGGTTATCTCTAGCTATATGTTAATTTAAAAATCGATAACAATCGATTATTTAACATAATTTATCCAATTAAGACCAACAAGTCTTGCTTGTGATTGTGAGACTAGAGTTAAGTGAACTGTTTATAGCTGAAATTATCAAGGATCTCGATTCTGTAATCGTAAGTATATTATCGATAAATATCGATACACCGTATTTAAGTTTTCTTCTAGAGTTTTATTCTATTGTATGCAACAGAGATTTGGCCCTCAAATTAAAAATTTAGCCACTCCACTTCAATCGATAATTATCGATTATTATATCGATAACTTAAATTTAATATTTCATATTCCATTTCGCTGTTTATATACGTCTATATATCTATACCTATAGTCTACTGTGAGTTCAGCTCATTTCCATTGCTCCCATAGAGTGCAGGGTATCTGCCTCGTCGCGCACTCTTTTGCTTCGTCATTGTTTTGTTTTGTCGCCGCGTTTCTGTTGCTCGTTTCGTTGTTATTTTCGTTGTTTCCTTTTAATCAACCTCTCCCCCTTAGCAGCTGCTTCTGCCCCAACCCACTTTGCTGACCCATCCCACCCCCACCCCCCACGCCCCACCCCCTCGACATTGTTTTGCGCCACGCGTTTCGCAGCCCGCTGCTCGCGTCTCGTCTCCGCTTTGTGCTTTCATTTTTTTTTTACAACTATTATGTGCTGATGCGTGCGTTTGTGGGCAGCACAGCCATGCCCCGCCCCCGCCCCCCCGGCTGTATGGCTACAATGTCCATGCTAGACATGCCTCGTTCCATCTACTTCGTCTTTACACTCTGCCTTATCTGTTGTAACTCCTCCTGCTCATCCATCTACATCTCCTACTCCTACTCCTGCTGCTGCTGCTGCTGCCGCTGCTTCTGCTTCTTCTTCTTCTACTACTACTGCTGCTGCTCATCGTCCATCTGTCTGTCGCATCGCTTGTCGCCGTTTCGTTGATGTCATCGCTGCCCGCCTCTGTCCAGCTCTTTTACAGTCCGCCTGCCTTTCGCATTTGCGCAATTTTCATACGCTTCACCTCTTAAATGAACGAATTAAAAGTTTCATTTCTTGCTGCTTCTACTGCTTCTTCGTCTTCTTCTTCGTCTTTTGTGTTTTGTATTTGATTTTATTTTTCCTGTTTAACAATTGCTTATGCGACTGCCGCCAAATGTTTCATTTCAATACGTTGCGCTGCGTTTCATTCTATTGTTCGATAAGCTCCATGTTCCAGTTTGTAAATGAGCTTAACGGGTATGAACTTTACCAAGTTGCATATATATGCAGCTACATATATATATCTATCAAGTAAGTAAGAGCAAGAAACTTACAAGTAATACAACTAAGAAGATCTATGAGAACTAAACTGAACTGCAGCAAAACAATTTGCAAAACGTCAACAACTTTTTACTGCTCTGCGCGTAAGTTTTATTTGTGAGCTATTGTCATGCCAATATCTTTTATTAGATGGCAATGCATAACTTTAAAATGTGGCGCAATGTGTTCGATTCAATTGAATTCGAGTCTCTTCTGGGTAATCCTTAGTCGACCTGAAGTGTATGGCTGTTAAATTTTCCTCACAACTACAAAATTTGCCTCTAGCTGTTGGCTTTAGACTGCAAAGACTATTATAGTATTGATAACATCTGTCTACAGTCATGCCTGCCTACAGCTAATTGGCCTCTGCAAAAAGTCTAAGCTGATATTCTCAGCTGCCGTCATGATTTCCCAATCAAATGAGAGACCTTACTGAATATTTAGATATCCAAATATTATCGATAACTCGCACAGCTGCATAAAGCTATCGCAAATGTTAGCTCTCCTGCTTGATCCAGGCAAAACCTTGAAGGTTTCATTTAGGGTTCTTGAAAATATATCAGAAAATATCAATATATCGATATATTTCTCAACAATGAAGCTTTCATTTCTCATGGTCTCTCAGCCCTATTCTAATGCCTAAGCCGACGCAATTAGCAAACCAATTGACTCGGTTCTCAACAAGATTAAATCTCTCAGCAGATATACACAGCTAAACTTATATATATATATATATATTTGTATATGCATAGCTGAGCAACCAAGTCCAAGTTGGGCACTTGAGGCAACGGCTAAGCGCAATTTTTGAATAGAACGAGAGAAACACTTCTAAGGACTCGCGCTGCTCTTTTACCTCAATTCATTTATTAATAATTTTTTCATTTTCGTTTTTGTTTTTGTGTTTGCTGGTTGGGGGGGTTGGGGGGCTGAGTAAATCATTTCATTGTTCATAATCTGGAATAATGAAATCACTTAAGTTCTCAATTTGGTAAAAATGACGATGCCAGCAGCGCTCGCTCGCCCCATTGGTAATAAGGATGCGCATTAAGCGTGCCTAAGTGGGCCGCTGACGGGGCGGTCTTGCGGCTAAAGGGGCGCGAGATGTGCGAGGGGGCGTGGCAGTGCCTACTGCCATCATTTGTTTTTTGTGTTTCTGGCGCCTCTCGTGTTCTCTGTTCACATCCTCCAAACTATTCGCGCAGCTGGCCGCAAAAATTCTCGCGGGAGACAATTGAATACGAAAAGAGTGCAAGCGCAGTGGTCGCTGAGTTGACTGACGAAGGGGATACCCTGTATACATAATGAGAAATTGATTGGCTTGCTTGGCATTGCTATATATACCATTAGCTAGATCTCTAACTGCCTATATTATCTACATATATCTATGGCTGTCGCCAGCTACCCTATCTAGCGCTCGCTACAGGGTATACCAAGTGGTGGCGGGGCGCACAGCAGCAAATGTAACAAGTGGAATATGCCATGCCCACAGCAAGTGCCGCCGCTGCCGCGCCCCGGCTCCTGGCTAGCCCCCATGCCTGTCCATTGTGCAGTTTGTGAATTGTGAAACAAAGGGAAATGAACATTTTTGCCCAACATTTTCGATTTAATTCTACTCGCTCGCTCTCTCTCTCTCTCTCTTTCTCTCTCTCTCTCTAGCTGTCTCTGCGTGTGGCCAAGAGGCTGACCAGGCCGAGGATCCCCCAGACGAACTCTCTATAGGCCACCAGCTGATGATGATGATGATGATGCTCCTGCTAACAACTATAAAGGTATGAGAGAGAGAGAGAGAGAGAGAGGGAGAGGGCTAGAGGGTAGCTGGTTAGACATTGTTAAGCTTACTTGAGTCTGGGACAAGCAGATGCACTCGGCTGGGCATGATTTGGATGTTTCGGTTTGTTGCGAGTTCCACAGGCAGACAACAGTGAGCGCAATTATGAGCAGCAGCCAGGAATTGCACATTTCACGTTTCTTCTTCTTGTTGCTGACACGACAGTTTGGCGGCGTAATTGAGCTCGATTCACTATCTCTCTTCCACGCACACACACATACACGGGGATAGAGCCAGAGAGAGAGAGAGAGAGAGAGAGAGAGAGAGAGAGAGAGAGCGAGAGAGAGGGCGAAGCAGAGTGAGAGGGAACGGACGGAAAGGGGTGTGATTCAACTGCTGCTGTTGCGTTGGCTGCTCCCTCGGCTGCCAGTTGGCCTTTTGCCTTTGCCTCGTTGCGTTTTGGCCTGCTGCTGCTGCTTCTTCCTCTTCCTCTGCTGCTGCTGCTGCTGCTGCTCCTGCTCCTGCTCCTGCTGCTGTGCTCCTTGTGCTTCCTCTTGCTTTGCTGCTGCTGCTGCTGCTTACTTATTTATGTTTTTTATATTGCGTTATTTCATTTGAACTTTCTTTTTATATATTCTTAAGCTTAATCATATTTATTTATGCTGCTGCTGCTTCCACGTGCTGCAAAAAGAAACAACAAAAAGAGAGAGAGAGATAGCATAAGATAACGAAATGACAATTGTGCGAGTTTCATTTGCACTTTTCCAATGCGACACTTAAAACTTATGACTTACTATAAATATAGATAGAGCTCTATATATACATACATATTTCTATCTATACATGCATACATAACACTAAAGAAGCCTACACTTGATAGAGAAAGAGAAAGAGAGAGAGAGAGAGAGAGAGGCAGAGTGAGACAACATGCAAAATTGATGCGCAGATTAGACTTGCTGTAGACAGCGAGAGGAGTGTGAGGGAGGGTTAATGTTAGATCGACAGTTGGCATGAGCCTGGCACCTGGCTGCGGCTCAAAGCCAGTGCTCAAGCTCAGTGTTTAGCTCTTAAGCCCCACTGCCCCGAAAACTCCGCAAGCTGAACGAAAAGGCAACGCAAGGCAAGTCATGGCAAAGGCCGCATTGCCGCTGACGTTGATGTTGGCTTTGGCTTTGGCTTTGGCTTTCAGACTGGGCACTTGGTTCTGGCTGGCTGGCTGGCAGGCTGTCAGCTCCTGCTACTATGTCCAAAATAGCTCCTTGTTAATCCTCAATAATAAATAAGTAATGCAAGGTGGACGCCAGCTTGCAGCTGCTTGCAGCAACAAAGCCAGTGCAATATAATAACTAAAATTGCTCTAAAGAGAATTTGCGATAAGGCGTCGCTGCTGCTGCTGCTATTGCTGCCATTGCTGCTGATGGCAAACGGGCTGGTGGGCCTGTTTGAAATGTTTAAATGCACAAATCAAATATGCAAGCAGCCAAAATGACAAACAGACAAACAGTCAAACAAGCACCTGATGTCCAGCTGAGCTGGGCTGCGCACGGCTTTTAATTGAACATGCTGGGTAACTTGGCCTAAGCAAAATGTCGCACACAATGCCAAATGCGGACACAAGGGGAGACATGTTTGGGGTCAGCCAGACACAATAAATATGCACAGGCATAAATCCGTGACATTATAATTGGAAAGCCAGCAAATATGGCTGCAGGCGCAACGCGTAAGTGTGAGTGAGAGTAAGAGATAATGCACGCATTTGCGCTCGCCAGCTATATTAAAGCACAAATGCAGCAAACTGGCGGTGGGAGCGAGACTGACTGTATGCAGCGAATCGATCGGCTGCCGCTTAAGTAGCCGCCATGTTCCTTAGGATGCGTGTGCGAGTGTGAGCGCGAAAGCAAGTTTACGTAGAGTGTAGACTAGTCAACTAGCTTTCAGAGAGCTTTCAAAATGAATAGCGAGAGCATCGTAGAAAACTGATCTAAGCAGCGTAAAAGAGACAGATATATGTATGTGTATGCATGGCGGTTATACACAATGGCTGTTCACTGGAGATTGAGAGAGCGCACGCAGTCTTATGTAGAGTTTGTGTAGAGTTTTGCAGACACTTTGTAGAACGAGTGAAGAGATACAATATATATATGCAGTGTGTAGTTTGACTTCTCTCATTGACAATAATTATGCCTGTGTAAGTGTATAGCAAGTGTGAGCTGCTATTATTTAAAGCTCTGTCGAAAGGGAGAACGAGAAGGAAAGTCAACTTTAAAGCGTTCGCGCTCATGCTGGTATGTGGTGTACATTGGCGGCCATCTTTGTCACACAGCGTGACATTTTGGCAGCATTGGGAAAAACCTTTGCAGGACCTGAAGCTATGAGCACACGAAAATCTGTGTGTTAAGGACGCGATGTGAAGCGACGCGACACGACGCGACGGTCGCGACGCTCGACGCCTGCCGTACCTCACACAATCGCATTACGTTCTGATCTAAAGGGATAAAAGCAAAATAACAAAGCTCAAATAATGCACAGACAATTGTGTAAGCAGCTGCTATGGAAGAAGAAGAGGAAGAACGACTGCAGCACGACACGAGCAGCAGCAGCGGCAGCAGCGGCAGCAGCAGCAGCAGCAGTGATGGCAAAAGGAATCACAAATGTGGCAACTAAAGCAGGCACCAGGAAACAGCTTAGTGGAACAGCAGCAACAGTAGCAGCCCAGTATAGTTGCTTACTCCATGCGATATGTGGCACAGCATCCAGCAGCCAGCATCCAAGTGCCAAGGCAGACACTGCAATCACCACTGTGGCAGCAAGAGAGAGCGGAGCAGGGAATAAGACAGCATGCGCAGCTAATCAATCAATTTTATTCAACATTTTATTGAATTAACACTGTTGAAGTTGTACAGCGGCTTACGAGACAGACGTTGCCCATGTCCAGGTCAATATCTAGCGCAGCATCATCTCTGACCTCGGTTCTCTGTTCTATCGCCTGCCGTTGGCTAGCCATCATTTATGCTGGCCGTGTCATCGTTTAAGCCAACATTATAGCCAATTAGTAAATAGATTTAATGGCAAAGACATTGCTCAGCATTCCACAAAACACAATGCAATGTTATTATGGCCTTCTATCAATCACAAATTGTGGATAGATATTCCAATTTCGGTTATATAACCAACAATTATGTGGCGAACGTATGCGTGTGCGCTAGAGCGAAAGGGTTAGATAATTGAGTGCAACAAAGCGATTTTAATTGCTTTACTTTTCACACAGTTATTCATATACAAATAAACAAAACTAATTTGCTGTGCTGCTGTCTCGCTTTAACGTGTAACTGAGTACGTACACACAATTATTTGTAGATTTATGCATACTCGTGAAAGTGGAGAGTTGATCAGAGGCAAATGCTCGCCAGTGTTTGCTGCTGTCCCACTCGAACTCATTTAAACTCCGCTCGCATAGCGAGTGTTTGCTTTGATTGGTTGACAGGCTTACTGATTGATGATCAACAACGGAGGCAGCAATAATTTCCAAATAGCAGTAAATTCCATTTTTCACAAAAATTTTCCTTTGTGTCGTAATTAAATACTGACACACATGTTGTAAAGTTTTGCTGCTGCCAAGCTGTGAAATTTATGTTTCTCTTTATTATCACTTTTTGTTTAGGCTCGACTTTGAAATGCTTTGTGTAATCGCAACTCAGGCGAATTAACAAAAAAAAAAAAAAAAAAAAAGCAGAAAACCACAAAAATCAAAAATTCAACTAAGCTGACAGTTTGAGTAGACAATAGTCGGATTTAAAGGCTTAAATCAATATTTGAGCAAAAAGTGATTTTAAATTTAATGACAAGTACATTTGCCGGAGCCAGAGTCGGATAAAGTGTTTAAACTTGGACTGCATTCAATTTAGACACAAATAGCAAATGCCAGCAATCAGAGTAAAGAACTTGGAAGCAGTTGAGCAAACTTAACCCACATAACAATTGAGTGGAGGAGGAAGCGGCTGCCTTCACTTTAAGCTCGGCAACCATCTGTGTGACTAAGATGCGTTGCCGCCGATGATAATCAGGCAAGGAAGCAATATCTATAAGATATGTGAGCTCATAAGTTAATGTCCGTTTCACGAGCTAAATAAATATCGTTAAATAGATAAGCAAAGAAGCCAGCAAATAGAATTATTTTTGCCACGCAGCACACAGAGAAGGCGACCACAGAGCCAGAGCCAGAACCAGAGCCAGAGCCAGAGCTCAGAGTCAGGATGTTGGCCAAAACGACAAACGACCCACGACGGACAAAGGACACGGGACACGGGATACGGAATACACTCGGACGATTGGACGATTGGACTTGGGACATTTGAACGTTTGTGTCGTTTGTCGTTAGTCGCCGGGGCCACATTCAATTGCTGCCAACTGGCGAGCGAACTAAGGGCTCCAGCACATATGAGCTGGCAGGGAGCACCTGCAGCAGCAGCAGCAGAGGCAGCAGCAGCAGCAGCTGGCAGAGGCAAGTGCTTGACCGACCACTAGCGTTCGCTTGCCATGAAGATAATTTAGAAAGCCGCACAAAGCACAAAGCACACACAGACACAGACACAGGGACAGGGACGGGGACAGAGGGCGGGAGGGGCAGAGTTGGGCCATCAGTCAATGCAGAAGGCTGTGTCCCGCTTAAATTAGAGAGGGTGTGAGAAAGAGAGGGAGAGAGGGAGAGGGAGAACATTAAGTAAGTAAGTTTTGTGGTTGCAATTGAAAAACGAGCTGAAGCTCTCTTAAAGCGGGCAACAGCGGCCAGCAATGTGGCCGACACTTCATTAACGTGGCCCGACCCGTTGGCCGGTTGGCTCTTGGCCATTTTAATGATCAGCAGCTGCAGCTGCAGTTGATCACAGTTGAAGCTGTTCAACGACCAGCTATGCATTTAATTGCTCTTTGTGGGCGAGCAAAGGACCAGCAGCAGTTCACAATATTTTGGCTGCTTGCCAGCCAACAGTATTGCAATGTCTGTCTGTATAGTTGTGTGCGTTTCTCTCAGTCTCCCTGTGTGTGAGTGTGTGTGTGTGTGTGCCCGCTTATCTTTTCAGTTAAATGCCTATGCCTGGGTCGCTAATCAAATTATGAAAGCCTTGTTAACAACAAGAACAACAACAACTAGGAGAACGAGAACGAGAACGACAACGACAACCAGAACAATTGTGAGCAATGACGATGTGCATTGGGATAAGAATGCCAGTCGGAATTCACCTGGTCAGTGGCCTATGGCATGCATTGATAACTAACATACAACTAGGCAGGTGTTGTGTTGCCCTGTAATATGCATATCTAAGATGTTCGTCTGCATTTGAAGTATATTAAAGTCAACTCATCTGTCATCCAATTCTATTAGATCATCAGTTAAATAAGTGAGATGGCATGATATGCACGTCAGCAGATCGAAACTCTACACATGCAGCTCTCTCCCACCCTGCCTTTCTCACATACTCAGCTGAGTCTCTTTAAAGATGGCCGTCTGCA